TCCCGAACTTTCACAGCCGTAGGAGAATTTCCCTCCTTCCCACGGGAAGCTTTGGAGCTGCTGCGGATCCCGGCGGCAATCGGGAGCTGCGGAATCCTCGGGAGGGATCCGGGCTGATCCCAGAACGGGGTAAGGATTCTTTTGGGATCTGTCCTTGGGACCCTCGATCCTACAAACCCTCGATCCCACAGCCGGGTCCCAACTGGGACGCGATCCCTGCTCCCGGCGGGAATTTCCCACTGGGAATTCATCCCCTTGTCCCTGGATGAACCCGTGGGGAGGGAACCCCAGGGGAGGAAACCCCAACACAGCAGGGTTGGAGTCTTGCGTGGGGAAAACGAGGCAGGGATGGATGCAGGGATTCCCCAAATTCCAGCCGCTGAATCCTATCCCCTAAAATTCTGATCTCCCAAAATCCTGACCCCATAATCCTGTCCCCCCAAATCCTGCACCTCTGAACCCTGCCCCCAATTCCTGCCTCCAAATCCTCTCCCCCCAAACCCTGCCCCTCAAATCCCACTCCCCAGATCCCTCCCTCCCAAATCATTTTCCCCAAATCCTGCCCCCCATTCAGGTGCTGCTGAGTTCCCTGCGTTGAAAGCTTCCCCTTTGGCCACAATCCATAAAGTGAACTGGAAAAGACCAACAGTTCGATAAACCACTTTGATAAAGGACCCAGTTCCAAAGCTATTATCAATAGCTTCTGCTTTGAAAATTGTAGGCAGCTGCCTTATTAATGAAAAATTTATCCTCATATCATCTGTAGGGGATTTTTTTTTCTGGATTTTGTAATCCTTCTTTACCAATTTACCCATAAGAAACTAATTTATAAATTTGTGCAGGGTTTTAGSAAATGCTCAGATGATGATTTTAAGTTGCTATTGGGTATGTCCAACCATGGTGAAATCACTGTTTCAGGTAAGACTAAAATATTTGTCGTCCACATTCTTTAAATTTTTTAAAATAGTGTTGCATTTTAATTTTCGTGAGTTGTGTCACAGTTTCAGATCTGTAACGCTATTAAATGCAGTTTCATTGTTACTTTTTTTAGAAATATATTGATCAAAATCTCTTTGTGTTTCAGATACAGTATCACAGCAAGTAAAACTTTGCTCTGAAGTAAATGAAGADGTCAGCTATATAACAACTCTGCATATCCAATTTCTTGGGAGCTTTAAAATTTGTTCTCAAGCAATGCCTAAAGCATTATTCAGTAGGTATTACAGGACTAAGGCTGAATCACTTAGAGGAGATATTTGTGATTTAGTGAACATGCCTGGAGACAAATCGTTAAAAATTAAGGTGATTCCAAGATTGTTTGTTGTTGTTTTTTCTTTCTTTAGTGCAAGTGCCTGTGAAGTCTGCGAGACTTAGTCAGAGTAAGATGTAAACACTGAAATGCCCTTGTGGAATTGGTTCTGAATAGTCTCTTGAAGAGCAGAAAGATTGAAGTCAAGAGTATTATTTGGAAAACTGGAGTAGCTATCCCAATTGCCTTGTCTGGCTTTATTTTATCTTTGAAAGAACGAATTTAGTGGTTTCCTCAAGCACTGGATTCTTTTTGCAGCATCTTTACCACTGCTTTAGCACAATTTAGTAAAGCTTTTTTTTTTTTTTTTTTTTTTTAATAGCTTCTGTACTTTCCAGCTACAAAATAGTATTTGCTGACACAAAATAAAACACATTTCTAACACTCACACTTGCAAATGAAATCTTGCTGATTTTCATATCCCTGGCGATTCGACTCCTTTTAATTGTAGCAGCTGTTAAAGTACAGTCAGGACTGCAACAATATTGTGATGCAAGGAAAGCAAGGATGGTGTTAGGGGACATCACACTAAACCAAACTGCCCCGTGGGCTCGTGTGCTGCTCTTCCCTGCCTCGAGCACTGCTCCAGTGCTGCTTGTACAACACTTTCTGTGTGTTCTAAGAGCACAGGGGTGGGTGGTTTCTCTT